CATCTCGCAACTTGTCCTTCCGGATTTTTGATTTAGCCATTTCAGTGCAGCATGGTCAGTTCGTAAGTGGAATTTCCGCCCCAGAAGATATTTGCTAAAATGTTGCAAGGACTTTACCACAGCAAGCGATTCCCCTCTTGTGACACAATAGTTCCTTTCCGGTACGAAGTACGCTATCACAAACTCTTGATCACCATTTCGTTGAGACAACACATCGCCAAGACCTATATCGCTTGCGTCTGTGTCAACTATAAATTTCTTGCCCGCATCAGGGTACCCCAAAATAGGTGTTTTGCACAGACGGTTCTTGAGCTCCTGGAATGCAATATCGCAACTTTGCCCAGCAGAAATGTCGCTTCTCTTCGGTTAGCTTGTGCAGAGGTTTGGCTATATCTGCAAAGTTCTTCACAAATGGCCGATAATAAGAGCACAAAAATGCTCTAACCTGTGTCTTGTCTTTTGGAACCGGCCACTCCTTGACAGCGACAATTTTCTCTGGATCCGTGCGGATACCTTCCTCCGACACTACATACCCCAAAAAGCTAACTTGCCGTTTGAATAGTGAGCACTTCTTCGGACTCAACTTGAGGTTGGCACTCTGGATCTTCATGAGCACGCGTTCCAGGTTTTGAAGGTGTTCCTCAAACGTACGGCCTACGATGATGATGTCATCCAAATAGACCAGACAGGCATCTACAATTAGCCCGGTAAGTACAAGCTCCATCAACCTTTCAAACGTTGCTGGAGCATTGCACAATCCAAACGGCATGACTTTAAATTGCCACAGACCCTTTACTGTGGAGAATGCAGTTTTCTCCTTGACCTTAGGGTCAATTTCAACCTGCCAGTAGCCACTTTTCAGATCCAGCGTACTAAACCACTTTAGGACTGTAAGCATGTCCAACGTGTCAACAATTCTTGGCAAGGGATAGCTGTCCTTCTTTGTAACGTCGTTCAGGTGGCGGTAGTCAACACAAAACCGCATGCTGCCATCCTTCTTCTTTACCAGCACCACAGGTGAACACCATGGACTAGGTTCAATAACACCATCCTTCACCATTCCCTCAATCATGGTTTCCACTTCCTTTTCACGTGCTACAGGCAATTTTCTTGGCCGCTGACGAATAGGCAATTCTTCTCCTGTGTTTATTTTGTGTTGAACTAAGCCAGTATTTCCTATGTCAGCTTCGTTTGACGAGAAAACATTGGCGTACTTGAGTAACAACTTCTTCGCTTTGACCGTTTCATTCGGGGAGAGAACGCTGCGACAGTCTTCTAAAAGTGTGGTCACTCTAGTTTGTCCATCCTTGCTGGGGGTCCCAGTCGATAGATATTGGCACTGACGCAACCAATCCACTTCCTCACTAGTACCAACCAATGTGCCTTTTTCTATAATCTGTTCCTGATCACAAAGGTTCAGCACACGTACTCCTGAGATGTCGGCGGTTCTGACCAACGTTCGAGCCACTTTCCATGGAAGGTCATTGTCTACCCTTTCCACGAGTACACAACGAAGAGTTTGCCCAGGATTCCGAGGAAGTCCTAACCGGCACAATCGTTTCCGATCGCGGCGGAAGAACAATCTTCTTAAGGCTGTACACATTCCCTGGTAACGTCCCTTCCACGAAAAGTTCCTCTTGTCCACATTTCAAAACACCTTGCATAACGTCGATCTCACAACAATTCTTCCTCATAAAGTCTAGGCCCAGGGTGCAGTCGTCCATTATATCAGCCACGATGATAGCCTAGGGCTGTATCCGTCATTGCTGTCCGGAACTGTAGCTGCTGCAACCTCCCTGACGCGATGGGAACGATGATCCTGCCGCACGGCTTCCACCTCCAGTGCATGGGTCAAGGCGTCCTTAAGCATCTCGTAGTGCCCGAGCCTCACAGCAGCTCTGACTTCAAGGTCGCGGATGCCGTCGATGAATGTCTGCACCAGGTTCCCTACAATGAGCGCAGGTACAGACTGTTATGCTTTTCGAACCGTCTCCTCCACCTCAAGGGCCCACTACTGCAGGTTTTCGTTACTGCGTTGCTGGCGATATTTGAGCTGCGCACGAAAAACGTGTTCCAGGTGAGCGTCGCCATATCTCGCCTCCAATGCCTCAAGAAGCTGCTCGTAAGGCACTTCCTTACCGAGAGCTTCCAGAACAGTTAAAGCCTGGTCGCGCAGGCCTAGGGTGAGAGCAGTAATGGCTTGACTTTTATTCTAGCCGTTCGCCTTCATGACAGCCTCGAATTGGATTTTGTAGGCCGAACAGGAAGAAGTCCCGTCGAACGGCGGCACTTTGAATCCACGTAGCGAATGTGTTGTAGCTACCATGGGAGCTGTAACTTCTTCACCAATTTTGAGGTCGTCCAGCGTTTTCTTCACGTCAACCATCACGTTGTCAACCCGATTGTTCACTTGGTCGATTCGGGTTTCAGCTTCCGACAGGTGGTTGTCATGTTGAACAACCCTATCTTTCACCTCCTTTATCTCTTTCCCGAAGGTAGCGTGAAGGTCCTTCCTGAGGAGCATCTGCTCTTCCATACCACGCTGCAGCTGCTCTTCCAACCGACGGTTCTGTTCCTCCTGTCGGCGGGGCTGTTCCTCCTGTCGGCGAGACTGTTCCTCCTGTCGGCGAGCCTGTTCCTCCTGTCGGCGAGCCTGATCCTGCAGCATCATCATCAGAGCACCTAAGTCAGGTGCTACAGATGCAGGAGCTGCTGACGGGCCGGCCTCCGTGGTTAGCAGCTGGCCCTCCGACGTTTGCGGCGATGCATTACCAAATCGTCTCTGGTCCGTCTCCGACCCTCCGTGTCGTCTTTAGGTAAAATCGGCATATTTGACCCCACTTCTGACACAATTGTTACGAGCTTGGGGTTCGAGACAATTAAAAACTGCCGATTGAATTACCAAAATTGACACTTTAATTACACAACACTAATTACAATCTAAAACCACACTAATAATAAAACACAATTGTACTACTGAACACTTAAGTTCGCAATTGTTTCGCTTCGAAGTATTCTCTTGTATCGCCAATTCAATACTACGCGGTAGTGGTCTATACCGGCCTTATATAGGGTCTCAGATAGTTTCCAGAATCTTCTAATGTAGAAACATCTAGAATGTTCGAGTACATATCGGTCCCGAAATTTCTAGAAGAATCTTGACTCTCCTAGTTCTGCTACTCGACACTAGAGGGCGCTAGTGATAACTAGTGTTGCCGTGTACAAGACATTAATAGTAACGCGTAACAATATTTAAGATAGTCCTTGTAAGTAAAATATACATCACTAGCTAACGCACACAATAACAAATCAAAATTGGTCACACGTTTTCGGGCTGTCAGGTGGTCTATACACCAGTATATTCTAAGTCTATGGATCCGTTAGTATCATATTAGTCTGTGTAGGACAGTTAATACTATAGATGTGCCAACTCGGAAAAATACTCGGAGAAATTCACGCAACTCGAGTTACGCAACTCGAGTTAGCAGTACGAAACAGAGTAAATGATTTGTTACAAATTGCTTTTTTATAAATTTGTTTTTCTAACCAGCTCTTTGGTGGATTGAAATAACTATAATTACCAAACATATTATGTAAGATTGAAATAAATAGGTATATTTGGTATGTATCACATACTTATGTATTTTTAGTTTTAATCTTAGTTATAGTAATTAACTGTATTTAATAACAGTTAAACTAGCTATATAGCAGTCTTTACGATACAATATTAATCTAGTCTTAAAATGTAGGAACATAAGCTATTAAAAGTTTAATTATCACAGTCAAAATATTCTTAAATAAAATCAACATTTTTCAAATAGATAATATTTATTGTATGTTAAGTGTTACATTTGGGGTTAATTTAAATTATAATGTATTTTACAACTTAACCACCCTTTTCGGGTTATAAAATAACAGGTCTGTGACTTACATAACTAGATTGATCATAATTAATCAAAATTATAAAAGAAATTAAATTATATAATTTAGCTATTATTAAGGCCCCCGCGCACTAGGCAGCCTGGCTGCGGCAGCCAGGCTGCGGCATCCAGTCCAACATAAAACGGTGTATGGGAGCCCACGAATCTAAGCAGCCACGAACTCCGGGCTGAGGCAGAAATAAAAGCGCGCCCGATTGCACGGCAGCCCGTTGGTTGCACGCAGCCAGAGCGCGCAGGGCAAATATGTGGCTGCCGTTGTCACCAGGCACTTGTCGTAGCAGCCATCCGTATTTTGTGTTCCGAAACGACAAAATGACTTTTGATACGGAGAAATTTATTCGCGAAATTGAAAACCGTAAAGCAATATGGAATGAATTTCTTATATTTCCCAAAAGGTAATCAAATGATTGCACTGACATTCTCATGTAGTTAAAAAACCGGTCTGAGTATTTACGAACATCTTTAAAATAGGTATGAAATAAGCCTTTTAAGTGCCGTTCTGGAAAAAAAGGATGAAGCCAATGTCTTTTAGCTTTGCGTTTTTTACGAAATACGACCGAAATTACTAGTTTTTCCACTTTCATATCCCTCGAAGAAAGGGTCACAACTGACTGTCCATTGGCTGTTTAGAAGTGGCTGCCTAAACATTTCGGCCGCCGCAGCTTGGCTGCGCAGCCAGGCTGCCTAGTGCGCGTGTTGCCTTAAATTTTAAACAACAAATTATTTTCGTTGTAGCTAAATATTCTTTGAAATACAAAGCGCACACACAACAAACGAATCGCGCACCCGCTTTTACTCTGCTACTAGCTCACTTGATCCGTTCATGTACAGCAGCCCAAACTCGAGTTAGGGGGATCCAGTTCGAGTTATATCGAGTTAAGCGTAACTCGAGTAAACTCGAGTTAGTAACTCGAGTTGGCCCATCACTAGTTAATACTCTTTGAATCTGTGGATCAAATAAAAAATAAAAATCAAATGTTTACTTGGTGTTTATAAAATTATGGAACGTGATTTTTTCATGATAGTGCTATTATAATATTGGCTTTACAAAAATTTACCATGTATGAATTTAACTATAGAGATCAATATACAATTGCAGAACTTGTACCGGATCATGTTTTGGAAAATATATTTTCATATTTAAGTTTAAGAGATTTGCGAAATTGTTCATTAGTGTGCAAAACTTGGTTTAGAATTCTTAGCGATGAAAACAACGATGTTTGGAGGTTTCACTGTTATAAAAAATTAGCAGAAGAAGTGATGAAGTCTGATTTACTAACCTCAGTACCAAGTTATAAATCTAAGCTAAGAGCGTTTTTTCATGCTTGGAGTCCCCGTGACTGCTCAAGAAATATTTATATTAAACCAAATGGATTCACTTTACACAGGTTTTTTTTTAAGAATTTATAAATAACCTTTATAATTGCAATCATAGAGCATAAATCTTCATAAGTAATACCTTTCAGAAATCCAGTAGCACAAAGTACTGATGCATGTAGAGCCAAATTTGGGTTTTATCGAGGTCGTCATGCTTGGGAAGTCATATGGGAAGGACCACTTGGAACAGTTGCTGTTGTGGGAATATCAACTAGAGATGCACCCTTACAATGCCAGGGTTATGTGGGATTATTAGGTTCTGATGAGCAAAGTTGGGGATGGAATTTAGTTGATAACCACCTGTTGCACAATGGACAAATCCAAGGACATTATCCACTGCTTAACAACTGCCCTAAATATCAAGTAAGATTCTTAATTTTGTAAGTTTTCAAAAGGAGGCCGTTATCATTTCAACTTTATTTTCTTTTTTTTTAAGTAACTTTATTTTCCCAAGATTAGCTAACCTGAGTAGCCAATTTTTATTTACTAATAAGGCACAATTAAATAAAATAAAGTCCCTACTTAAATTTCAGCCACATTCAGTAACAGTTAAAGTTGATGTTGAGTTTCAGAAGCACTTTAGAAACAGAAATCCCACCAAGGGGGCATCCCAAAGAGGGGAGGGATAACTCTTGTGTAGGAATCAATGTGTAGAGAAGCATATTTTTTAAGAAAATAACAACTCCCTTCTTACATGTTTTTACTATTTGGCAAATATCATGCACTTTTTAAGACATAAATATGCTAAAATAGTCTATTTTAAATTTGAAATTATACATATTGTTGTTTGACAATTGTCACATTATTTTATAACTATTTTGGTACAGTTTAACGGGTGTATTCATAATCATTTTTAAACAGTTCATTAGTTAAAAAGTGTTTTGTCTCATTCTGACATTTGCGAGATACTTGTTGCTAGAAAGTGACAAAACACTTTTTAACTAATGAACTGTTTAAAAATGATTATGAATACACCCGTTATTATATTTTGTGATTTTTAAAAAAAACAATGTCTCTAAAGCTATGGATTTCTACACCTTGACATTTTGGTATTGACACATCTAATCTAACCAATCCTTTCTGCCTTAAAAATTTAATAAATAGGTTTTTTTGTTTCTATAGCCTTATATTTTTCCAAATAATTCAATTATATTTCGTTATCTTAAGTGTTATAAGTATGATAGTTCAATTTTTTTTAATATAATATATTCATTTATTTATTCATTACAACTTATCAAAGGGATATTTGCCATATGCTTGGCATGCAGGTATGCAATTGCAGTTTTATAAATTGAGCTCTTAATAGGAACATTTCCATGTCCTATCGGAGTTTTTCGGTCACTTCTTACAATGCCAATAGGATGATATAGAGTAGTGAGTTAGTAGGGTTGGATTTAGAATTGTCTGATAGGAATTTGTAGGAGTAAGGGGTTGTATATGGTAGAGATTTAATCCCCGATTATAACAATACCACTCATATTAAAAAGGTAATGTACAGTTTTCAAGAAAATAAAAAAATAAACTATTATAACCTAAAAATGGGTAAAACATGGAAAAATATGCAATATTACTGTAAAAGCTGGATAGCATACATAATTTTGTGTATGTGCGACAAGGACTTAAGACCATTTTAAAGACTAGTCTTTGTGTTATAGCATGGTGCAGATGACAGTTTACAGTTTGGTGTGTCTAGAGATGCGACAGGGTTAAATCAATTTAAAAAAGGCGATTAATGATACACAAAGCGAAGCAAAAATTATTGATTAGCTATCAATATAAATATTAAAACCGAAAGATATATATTTATAAACTACATATTATTATATTCCTTTATAATCTACAATGCATTTAAAATTAAGTTAAAGCTTAATACAAATTATGACATAATAGTTATATAATAGCTGTTCCCAGACCTTGCCCGCTTGGTATTTATTACTATTGGATTTCATGGGTTTTAATTTTTTTGCATGGAATCCTAATTACTTTTGGAAAATAAAAGTAGCCTGTGTTTCTCCTTATAACATCAGCTATCTGCCAGTGCAAGCTATTAGCCAGAACAAACAGACAGACAGACAAACATTTTAAAAATTTTTTAGTCTTTATGTCATAAATATACTTTCATATGTATTTAGTAAAAGGCTGTTATTTTGATTACAAACAGACACTTCACTGTATAGTTTTTACTATGTATTAATTTGAAAAAAAAAAATCATCTTCTATTTATATTGATTTCAACATTCATATTGACATTTAAACAAATAAAATGGCTGCCAGCATCTGTAATTTTCAGTACGGCGTTGACTGCACCAGCAGCTTTTAAGATACGAGTGCTAGCACCTTTCGCTATGTGTATTAGTTTGCCAGGTACAATATCGGGACGGAAGGTAAAAATAATCGAGAATTTGGTTTACAAATCTAATGAAATAAAAAATAGGTTATTTGTAGCCAATTTGACTGCCATGAGTATTTTTGACACAATGCACAATTTACTTTATAATTAGTTCTTTTGCCTGAGCTGACCAACTAATAATTTATTGTCCATGCATCGAAAACACTGCATATTTGTCTATGTGCGTTTTTTTCCGTAAATCAGAATATGTTGAACAATTAGTTTCAATTCCAATACATATTTACGTGATTTTTATATATTCGATTTATTTCCAAACCGATTTTGATAGTTTGAAGTTGTTCGTTATGGCTTGGCATAGTTTAGCGTGCAACATCACTATCGTAAGTGGGCGGTACCTATCCATTAAGTGCAATAATATCTGTATGACAGTTTATCTAAAAAAATACGAAACTTCATAGGTGTGAGTTGACATTCGCACCATACTACAACGCAAAGACTAACTTATCTTTTTAATTATTCTCAAGAATGGTGTATTACCTTTTCATGGGAGTAGTGTAGGGGACACTCCACTCTACCCTCTCTCCTCACTCTCCCTCCCTGCCAAATAATTCTAAATTTTTACCAGTTAGTCTCTTACGCTGCCACTACACAGCATAACATATATTAAAGAATTGAATTTATCCTCATAATAATGATTAAACCATGAAGTGGTAGTGTAAGAATACCTGCTACCCCATATCGTCACGAAGGTGTTATAAGAGGCGAAAGAGGGAAAATGAACTTTATACGTGGTAGAGCCATGCTGGAGCTATATTAGTAGTATAGTTGTAGCACGAATGGGTCGGCTCGACCGGGGAAGGACCACGCTCTCACAGAAAACCAGCGTAAAATAGCAGCTTAACGCTGCTGTGTTTTGTATGGTGAGTGTAGAGAACCGGAGGCCCTTTTTACTGGCAAAGAGGCATTCCATCTTAGTCCTCACGGGTGACAACGCATCTGCATCTTGAGTCTTTATTGAGGATAGATGTTGATGTCTATGGGTCACAGTAACCACTTACCATCAGGTGGACTGTGTGCTCGTTTGTCACCCTATCATATAAAATAAAATGAAACAGGAGATGGACAGCAGCATTCATTCAAGATAACTACTCAAAATAATAAAACACTGCGGTTGCTAACCCTCGTGCCAAGGGTGATAATTATGGCAAAATTCCCCCATGACGGAATCTATGATTGATGTATAATAACTTAATAAAGTAGATAAAATCTTAAAGGTGTTTAAAACTGAAGTAAATGTACTTATTGCTTTAAATAATTATATTTGCTCATAGTTGATACGTTTGGATGACACAGTTAGTTCTGATTGTTATCAAACAATTTTATAAATGGCAGCAGAAGAGCCACTTCTTTGACTATCAACTGTTTAACAGAATTGAAATTATAATTTTTGGGTATTTTATTCCTCTGTACCAAGAGTTACAGTGTAGGAATATCCATTTTGCCCCATATGTGTCGTAAGAGTCAACAGACAGACAAGCCAGGAGATGGGCAGTAGCATCTTTATTATATTTTGAAAATTGGGAGTGTGGCACTAGGGTTGCTTACCTTATATTCAGATTCACTAAATGATTTACTAAAGATCCTTTTTACTGGAAACGAGGCATTCCAATTTAGTCCTCACGGGTGACGACGCATCTGCATTTTGATTTGTAATCGAGGATAGATGTAGATGTCTATGGGCCGCAGCAACCACTTACCATCAGGTGGACTGTGTGCTCGTTTGTCACCCTTATCTTATTTAAAAAAATGGTTTTTGTTGAAGATCATACAGCTTATGTATCAACTTCGCCATATCTCGATGAGTAGGTGGCAGTGATGTAAGAAGATATCTCTGGTGCCATGTATTCCTCCAAAACCCACTATATTATATTAATAGGAGACTTCAACGCAAATCTTCGAAATTCGGAATAGGACAAGGGAAATCAACTGGTCAATAGCTGGCCGACTTCATAGAAAAGGAGGAATTAACAGTTGCGAGCGGATGGTGAACTGGTACTTAAAGCCCCTCACAAGCTCTTAAGCAGTAGAAATGGTCTTGTTCTTCAAGAAAGGCTTTACTAGGTGACAGGACTCCTTTTCTGCCTAAGAGTCCATGTGGGTAGGTTTATAGGCTTTGATGCATTCCATCTTAGTCCTCAGCGGTAACGAGGCTCTCTTAAAAACAGACTTGGTAAATTCCAGCCCAAGAAAAAGTCAGTTTATTAAAAAGCTTTAGTACCACATACATACCTGCCATTTTGTCTTGCATATGTGGCCTATGAGAAAGTCTTTGATTCCATTGAAATTTGGGAAGTGTTATAGACCCATCTTTTGACTGTCATTATATCGAAATTGTTAAGTATTTGTATAGCAGGACTACAATCCGAGTACAAAACCTATCCAAATAAAGAGATCAAGCTACTGGACGATAAGGATACGGTACCAACATCAATGGCGAGGATATCACTCATCTTCGGTTTGCCGACGATATAGTTATTATGGCAGAATCGCAGGAGGACCTCAGCACTATCTTCAATGACCTCTATAGTGTCTCTCAACGGAGATGTCTTAAAATTAACATGGAAAGACAAGGGTCACATGTAATGCACCTATGCTCTAGCAGTTGTGGACGAGTATGTATGTATGTACCTAGGACAAATTGCCCGACTAGCTACATTCAAATTCGACCGAAAGGTTCAGCGTTCGGCAGATATCGACACATCTCAAAACAAGAGTGCATGTTGCCAGTAATGACATATGTATCTGAGACGTAGTATTTGATTGCTTGTCGCATGGGGAAGCTCAAAGTACTAATAATGAAACAAATATATGAACAATTCAATTATATTTTCTAACTGAAATATTATTCTACTTACGTTACCAGCATCTAAGAAAAAGTATTCAGAATTTTCTTGCGGTCATCAGTTGTTTGACTTCTAGATGTAATTTCAAGAAGATAAAAATAAAAAGACAGCCGCGGAACCGATTCGTTTTAAGAGTTCGAAGAGTATTTGCGCCGCTAGTTGTTAAAGGCGAAAAACCTTACTTGCGATGCACTTGAGACTCAACTATCAAAGCACATTGTCGGGTTTGCACCAGGAAACGAGTGTGCTGAAGAAAACTCCGCCTACAACTACAAGATGTCCTCTTATACAAGCAGAATGTGTTTATTGTAAAACGTTTGCATATAGCGACAGTTAATTGGTTTCGCCGTTACGTGAACCGGTCACGACGTAAATGTGTTAAGTCGACCTCATGTTTGAGTATCCTAAGGAATCAAGGAACTACTAATTGTTTCTGGTCGTTTTAAGGATAAACTAGTTTAAAGATTTTGGCTTGAAAATAGCTAATACAGCTGGGCAGACGAGTTGTTAACATATTTTCCTGGATAATTCAAGGTAGAGCTTAGTAGAATATAAGGATTGACATGTGTTGTTAAATGTAAGAGCTGATGCATCGCCACGGTTTTTGAAGGCACATCTATTCCCTGTGATGTAACAAGCCGAGCAACAGATGACACATAAATGAATGGATAATATTAATCCGCTTGTAAAATACTTCAAGTAGGCTACTTACTCTATTAAAATTGTAAAAACGATGACTGCTTCCTTTGCAACAATGGTGACTGCAAGTCGACTGTTAATTTAGCTATAGGGACTGATATATTTCCATTACCAGCTACTGATAAATCGTTTTCTTCTGGCTGCTGGGTTAGGTTTATAATTCATATGGGTCGAGTCTAACATAACCCGTTTTTGATTTCGCAAATTTATCCACCTTGCGTAGACATTTCCTTTTAAGAAAAAGTTTGCTACTCCAGATTGCAAAGCTTTACTACACTTTAATTTTGTTTGTAATCTTGTGGAAAATAAATAAAACATATTGTTAAGAATTAAGAAAAAAGTAAATAATCGTGTAAAAAGAACAAAAAGCCTCTTAAGTATTCATTTGATATTTTACAGGTGGGAGAACGTATAAGAGTAATTTTAGACTGTGAGAATAGGACTCTATCGTTTGAAAGAAGTTATGAATTTTTAGGTGTTGCATTTAGAGGTAAGTGCATTTTTTTAATAATTTTGAATGTTAATGTCTTCTCACATTCATTATACGAATACTACCTATTAACCGCGCGAACAAAGAAACTGTCGATGACGTCATTTGTAGATTGTTACTACGGTTGACAAAAGGACAAATTCAAATTCAAAATATTTATTGTAAGTGTAATTAATACAAAAATATATAATATAATAAAATAACAAAATAAAATGACTGTAGAATTAGGAAAATTAGGCAATAACATGTAGCTTAATCCATTGAATTAGTATCAGACATAACCGTATCATTTTCAGTATCCGTTTCTAGCCCAGTGGAGTCGCTATCGCTGTTTTGACCTATAGAAATAATTAATTCTCTTTCGTAAATATGTCCCAATATATCTTGTTCCAATACTTTTGACGCAAGCGATCCACGTGGATGACTTCTTTTTTCCAATCACTTGGCATTATACTTTTAATAGCATTTTGGGTCAAGTTTAATATTTCTCTTTCGGATTGGATTACATTTTTATCTGCGACTCGCTGTATTTTTATTATATTCCATACGTACTCTATGGGATTTAAATCGCAGTGTTACGGTGGTAACCGGAGCACTTCATGACCATGTCTTTTTAACAATTTGTCAACAAAATATGTCTTAAGTGGCATTGTTATTTTGATTAAAAATGGTATAATTATTTTTCGGTCATATTTTCATCATAAATGATCTTTAAGTGATGAGGAAGTCAGCCGTTTTTGTATTTGCTTGCTATGATAAGGAGCATTATCAATAACCACTGTGCCATTTGGTGGTCAGTTTGGGATGAGCTTTTTATTTAACCGTTTCAAAAAATTATCACTATTCAATTCAGCATGACAGTCAGCCCGTGGAACTCGTATATTTATAAATAAGTTCTGCGTTTTCTATGAAGCTATTCTCACCTCTAGCGTGAACTATAATCCACCTTTAGCCCGGATTAAAGTTCTTGTTTACACTAGTGTCTAGACTACTTCGCCAGCATTTGGCGACGGTGTAATGGCTATGAATTCAGGTTTCGAAATTCAAAATCGACATATGTGACAGGTTTCTTATCAGCACCAAGTTCGTCATTTTCCTTTAACCGTCGTAAATATCTTGCAAGCCGCTATATCCTGTCTTTGTACAAGAAAATCTCTAATATTTTCACATTTTCGGAATCTATAACCCAGCTTTTCTTTTAGTATTTTTCTCAATGCTATTTTTTGACCAGGAAAGTTCAATTCGGTTTTCGCAACTGCTAATATTTTTCTAACAGTTGGTATTTCTTTTTTTACGCTATAAAAGCTCTCCACAATATTTCTTATAGCACAAATGGTGAAATCGTCCATGTCTAGCTTCATTCCACTGGGCTTCTTTTTCTTAGGCGTTCTAAGTTTAACTTGTGTATCAGCCGATGTGCCTGGTGTAGTTGGAGTGCTCCTAAGCTTCTTGGCTTCATTCTTTATATTTCGTAGGGTTCGAATACTCACCCCTGTGGCCTCACTATCGCGATCTAACGCACGTTCAAAGGGAATCATAGGCGAACTTTTGTTTTCCTTTCCTCCTTCCAAATTTTTTGACCTTTTTGAGTGGACTAAGGAATATCACACAGGAAGTCGATGGATGCTGGTGGCTCAGGACCGTGCTTTGTGACATAACTTGGGGGAGGCCTATGTTAAGCAGTGTACTTGTGAAGGGCTGTAAAGATGATAATGATGAAGAAATATCATAAGCTAAAGGTAACCAACTAGAATGTTCCCCAAATAGGTAAATTATATTAATTATATATTATATTATTACAGTTGCATTACTTTAATTTCAATCCCTATTTTCTACATTTAGGGGTGTAATATTTTCTCCAAAATTTATATGGGGCTACCCCAGATGTATGACCTATTAAATTCATAATTAGATTCCTAATTGGCAAAGATTTCGCGTAACATATGCGATTAAAGTAAATATTACTTTCTATTTAATTTATATATATCCCGAAATTCCGTTCACAAATCCATGATGTTTTGATGATAGGATGATATCGTCGTTACAGCAGAATTGCTGCAGGGACTCTAAAAAAACACGCATGAATTTAAACAATGGCAAATCGGGCAGATAGTGCAGTTAGAAACAACTTCGAAAAAGAAGGCGATTTGCGATTTCAATCGGTATCAACTCAAGGTCAGAGACCTTAAAGAAATAAACGTCGTAGCTGTTGCACGACAATGCATTTTGGACAATATTATTAGGTCCGTACATATGAAATTGGCGTTTTCTATGGAAAAAGCAAAACGAAATAAAAAAATATATAAAATTATATATTTAATCAATCGAAGTATGTAGGTACCACTTTCGCCATTTTATAGGTTGTTCATTGATTCTTTTGCTAAAAAATTGTGGGAGCGAGAATAAATAAAACCTTTGAAGGTGGTTTTGACTGCCTCATTGGAATCAAATTTATTTCCTTGCAAGAAATTGTCCAAATTTAAAAATTAGTGAAAATTTTTAAACGTCGTAGAGCCATGCTGCAGCTATATTATTGGTATAGTTGTAGCACGAATGGGTCGGCTCGACCGGGGTAGGACCACGCTCTCACAGAATACCAGCGTAAAATAGCAGCATAACGCTGCTGTGTTTCGTATGGTGAATGTAGAGAACCGGAGACCCTTTCTTACTGGAAACGAGGTTAACGAGGCATTCCATCTTAGTCCTCACGGGTGACAACGCATCTGCATTTTGATTCGTAATCGAGGATAGATGTAGATGTCTATGGGTCACAGCAACCACTTACCATCAGGTGGACTTTGTGCTCGTTTGTCACTCTAATTCTATTTAAAAAAAATCCGGAAAAAGTGGTAATATGTTTTCGGAGAGTATGGTGAGTGGCCGAGACATTCCAATCGCAGCTCCTGTCCTTAGGCAGCAGTGGGCTAGAGCAATTCATCAAACTCGGTTGTTTAACGGCTAGCTTTACTATAATGGTTTGCAATTGTTGACAATACAGATTTGTCGTAATCGTCTGGCCATACCTGAGGAAGCTGTAGTGGATGACACCAGCACTGGTCTACTAGACACTTACCAGTACTTTTTTATGAGTCAAATTTCGTTTGGGGCAGGATTTTGCCGATTCCCCCGGGTTCAACTATTGTGATGAGCGTTTCCGATTATCGTACAAGATGAATTTTTCATCACAAGGAACGATATAATTCTAAATCCCCTCGTTATTGTGACGGTTGAGTAATGTAACGCAGCACTCGACGCGGGTTTTTTTGGTGTGTTTCACTCAATTCATACGGTACCCATTTTTCGAGATTTTTCATTTTCTCAATTTGCTTCAAGTGAATTAAAATTGTTTTACCAATCACACTGAAGGCTGAAGGCACTTACTCGATCACTTTTAATTCTCTATTGTCAGCTATGGTTTCAGGCCGTCCACGGGGTTTGTTCTGTAGGTCAAAATTTACAGAACGAAAACGTTGGAACCAAAACGGTACCGTATTGTTTTTTACAGTAGCTTCCCCATACACATAATTAATCCTGATGATGACATTTTAAGTTTTCTATAATGTTCTCAACACTCAATATTTATTTGCATTCCATAATTTACAAGAGTCGATGATAAAGAAAAATCAAATGGCGCGAAAACAAACGAATCACTAAATTCGAAACACAAATACACGAACCTAAATTTGAATTTGGAATTCCTAACCAAACGCCAGATATGAGAGATCAAAATAGCTAGTTCGACAAAACGCAAATTTCGTATGTAATATTCGACCTAATATTTGTGTGAGGAACTATTTAATACCTTTGACAATATGAGTGATGCCGATAATTTTGCACTCCATAAAATTAGCGGCTCATTTTGGGTTACTGTTTATTACCTCCCCTCTAAATATTACGGATTTGACTTTGCTTAAATTCAAAGCGCGTGTTAAAAACACTCTTATTATAAATTAGATGGCTATTCTAAAGATAAGAGCTTCCTTAAACTTTTTTTTATAATTTATATACGTATAATTCATAAGGATAATTTGTTACTGTTGTGAGAAAAATAGTTTACTTGTGAGTTACTTGCTGCTTCTTCTCATCTCACAAGGTCTCCCGCAGTGCGGACTTGTTGAAACGATGGCGTAGCATTTGATTTTCATAAAGTACTTTGCAGAAGCCAATTTTCAATAAAGATATTTCACTTTGACCTATGTATAAAAATATTCCTTATCATCACAATATAATTTAATTCTAGGTCTTCCAAGGAGAAGATTGTATCCAACTGTATCAGCTGTTTATGGAAACACGGAAGTGTCCATGGTGTACTTGGGACCGCCTGTGGATGGCTGATAAGTAAACAATATGCTAAGAATTGGTCTCTAGTCAATAAACTATGTATGATATGTTTCGAGGCATTGTAATGTTATTTTATGATGGTGGTGAGTTATCGGAATTAAAGTTAATAATTTGACTACTTCGCTAATCAGATGAATAAAACCACATAACATGTAATTCATTTTTAATCAATCCATGAATCTAATATTAATATAATAATTTGTAGAGCTTTGTACTATTATTAATTTTAGGATTTATGACAATATAAAACAAAAAACAACAACATTTACTAAAATATAACAAATGAGAAGAACTCCCAAAAATTGTTATAATTTTCTTAATGTTCCATGATCATCTTGTTTTAATTTAAAAAATACTAAAGTTATTAATAAAAAAAATTAGATCCTGCCACGTCATATATATTTTGGATAGGTTTTTTTTATTACAGTTCTAAAGCAAAATAAAAGATAGCTTATCACATCATTTATGTAATTATTAAAAATTCAGACGTCATTTATTTTACGGTTATTTCTGTTTATCTCATCGTCATCATCCATACATTTCTCATTCCTATATTTACCGTAGTGGGGCATACTCAAGTTTTATTATTTTGAGTTTTTATCAGGAAGTTGCGGCTGCCCTTTTCCGGAACTCATGGGATGATATGGGGTAGTGGATTCTCTTACAGGGCCTCTAAATGTTATACGTTTTTTTTAATAACAGATTTTATCTATAGACTTTATAGTGATCTCGTTCTCAAGTAACTTAAAAATGACTTTTACCATCAGAGTATTATTTTATAAAATACTAGGACAAATGTTTGTGAGATATTGAGTTGAGATTGATTGATTGAGTAGTCGTTGGAGTTGAGTGGTTCATGCAGTCATCGGTTCGCGAGTTCAAATGCTAGTACCATACCCTAAATCATTAGTCTACCGCCATTAACTTTAACATTACCGCCGTTGAGTAAAATTACATAGGTAACGCACGAAAAATTTTTTATGTGTTCCTTTTTTCGAATCAACATAAAAATGTAAATGTAAAGCAATAAAGCCTTATGTGATTTGAAATTGCCCAGCATCATTGATTTCAATACCAAATACAGTTTTATACGTATCTTGTCTTGCATTACATAAAACTTGGTAACAGCGCGACAACTTAACTTACTTAACTACAACAAAATTCAGTTGTCTCACTTTACTGTGACGAGTGCGCACCACTCTCGTCAAAAACCCTAACTTGCCGCGTACACTAATTTAATTTTTTTTTCTATCTGAATGCTGTTTCAGCAAGAAGAAGAAACGTTCCTAATATGTTCGTTAGATTTATTTATAGATTTGTCAATGGGTTCATGTGTAATATTGGATGATAAACAATAGGGCACAATGTCAGAGCATCAGCAGCATCAACAATTCGGGCATCCAATTATGAATAAGTAAGAAGTAAGTAATTATGAGATTTAAATTGACCCAGGTTGTTAATGAAGTCAAAAAATAACTCGGTTGTGATGCTTCCCTTCGTGTCCATCTTTATTAAGCTCCGGGAGGCATATTATCACAAAATTCTGGTCGTAATCTTTTGCCTTAAAATTATCATTGATAGCACTATATTTCCTGTTACATTCATGCACCTACAATTGTAACATTCTCTGCATGTTCTTAGGTAACAAAGTGCACCCGGTTGGTCCCTTTGGCAGCAAATACTTTCTGTTGATAGTGGATTGTTAATCTGCACCCCTTTTCGTCCATATTATAAAGACTCCGGATGACTACAAATGTTCAGATCTTCATAAATAGTTTTGATGACGTTAACATGTTGTTGCACAATGTGCTTATTGAGTTTCTGTGCTCTTACCGGATTTATTAGTAGGGCAGGGCTCAGCGAAGCGAAATTTCTGAATTGCGTTTGACAAAAAATTTAAACCATTTTTCCAGGTATATTTTTACTATCATTAAAGAATTGAGGGATACAAAATTCATAAGCTTGCTTACGAACTATTTTGGGGGTCAAACGCAGGCCAACCTGAGCAAGTCTAATCACCCTTTTACTTAAATTCTTTTCTTGTGATTTAGTAAAAACTGGAGTGCGACCAGTTCTCTTTTTTGTGAATATAGATTTTATATGGTTTCTTAATGTACGCCCTTGTATGCGAAACTTTGCAGCTGCTTTTCGTTGTGACATCTGTCTAGCTGCTTTTAATTGAGTTTCTGTCCACTCCCCACGCCTTTTTTATTTCGTGGCTCCATTTATACCTGTGTAAAAAAAATACTTGACTGTTATTTATGTACCTATTTATTTACCTTGATAATAAATTTGACTTTTGTAAATATTTGATCATTGCATTTAACTTAAAAAAAAATAAGCATTAGAAAATCATCAGCCTCTTGCCGTCCACTGTTGGTCGTAGGCATCGTAGAAAATATTTTATGTCGAAATTCTTACCAAACGAGTTCATTTCTATAATACTTAAAACACTTAATTAAAAATAAAAGTAACATAGATGATAGCTATAAATGTCATTTACTTTTAATAGTCCTAAGAAGGGCCAGGCCATGTTTTGGACACATGGAGCAGGCTTTCATATGAAACTTTAATCTAGTTCAATACAATTACAATGAAATACAAGAAAAGTTGAATAAGACTTATCTTTGACAACCAAAACTGTTAATTTTCAAGTGGGGATAAAAGCCGGGCCATCTTCGGTCACACTACCACTTTACTTACATAAAATTGCACCACTTTTACGAATAAGTCACTTCAAACCATTATTATTGCTGGGGCAGCAATCCTCCACGGTCAAGTTCCCGTAAAACTTTTTCTTTGAGTTAATTAAAGTTATAGCCTATATACATACGTCGCACTGCTGGGCACAGGCCTGCTCTCATTTCTGAGATGGTTTTAGGACAAGGAAATGTTCGCCACGCTTCCCCAATGCATGTTGGCGAACTTCGCATGTCTTCGAAATATATTAATTTTTTTCTTAATTCTCAGACATACAGGTTTCCTCGCGATGTTTTCCTTCACCCCTGGGCACCTGGTAAATCAGCACTTAAAATTCCAATCATAACTTTTTCTTAAGTTAATCTTAATTTAGCTGATGAGTTTGTTGCCAGCTGTACTAAAGTAGAGCAGTTCTTGTTATTTCAATTTTTAAGAAATCACTGTTGTAGGTTTAAGTAATTAGGTATTATGTTGAATTAATATTATTTTATTTCTATTAGGCCAAAGCTGGATTTGTTTTATGTTAATGCTTTTGATTTTGAATCGTTATCTATTTAAATACACTATTAGTCACACACTCTTTGTGTTAAAATATTGCAATATTTTAAAGAAAGACGTTATTTTACGTTAGGATACAAGTAGTATTTACTTTATAAGTTATTTGAATGTAATATCGGTTCAAATAATTAAATAAAATAACCAACACATTTTACCTACAGTTGATCTCTCTAATTTCAAATCCATTTAAATGTTACGAAGGTTAACGGGATTTTAAAGTCTTTGATGAATGGTATTGGATATGAAACATTATTTATTTTGCTTCTATTGGTAATACAACAAAGGCTTGCTAATATACAGGGTTACAGGTTAAGTCGACCCAGATCCGTTAAGGGGTTGTACATATATACTTTTTTATTTATAACTATGATTGCAAAATTAACATTGTAATGTCACGGGAACACTATAGTGACATTGTAAGGCAATGATATTTTGATTTGCCGTTAAATTGTAAGAAATGAATTCGATTGACAATCTACCGTTTAATTATAATATCACTATAGAAATTGTAATATTACGGCTTTGACAATATACCTGCGATATATATATATATATATATATATATATATATATATATATATATATATATATATATATATATACGAGGTGTCCAAGAAGTAAAAATGACCATGTTATAAATTCAAGTAAGTATATGTACGGCTAAAGTTAATGAAAATTCAAACTTAAGATTAGTAGCCTAAATTTTGGCTATTTTGAGCGTAGGCTAATGTTGTATTTTTACATGCTAAGCCAACTGAACTTAGTAAAGTTTAGTCGCAAGCTATCGGCTAAAAATATAGAAGCAAATAAAAACCATAGAAAAGTAAAAGAAGTTAATTATTTCAATTGTTTATTGTATTTAATAAACTATAACTAAAACTACACACTACTTGATGTATTCGACTTATTCATAGCTTAAGTATAGCCAGCTTAAGGTTCATTTGGTCTATCCCAGAGCCGCGAACATTTATAAATTGTAAATGTTCGCGGCTATTTGACTAAAGATAAAAAAACCGTGTAGTGGAGGAGTAAGAATACCCACTACCCCATATCATCCCGTGGGTTTCGTAAAAGGCGACACTGGGAAACAAATCAGGAGATGGACAGCAGCGTCTTCCTGATAACGACTACAAGTAAAAAACTGCGGTTTTCAAGCGGGGCCACTATGGCAAATATGTATGGCAAAAATATAAGAGGCAATCTATGGGGGAGGCCTATATTCAGCAGTGGATTTTAATAGGTTGTAACGGGAAGATAAAAAAAATATTGCAAATGGACAATATTATGTCCAACATTAACCTACAAACAAAAGTAAACGTAAAGAATAAGTAAAATCAAAGAACAAGAACAAACTCATCACGTTAGTATTATTTTTTTATTAGGTTTTTTCTGTTATTGGAGGAGTACGGCCAAAGTAGCCGCAAGGCATCTAGGTGCTCTTGCAAAGGTGCAACGGTATATAATGCCGGGGCAGCTTCTTATCATATATAATGCGCAACTCACTTAGAAGCTTTGAACTCAGTAGAGAGGCGTGATAAGGGGCATATTGGTAACCCAGATTTGGTTGAAATCAATAATGAAAGTCTCTAGCACAGGCGCAGATAAGAAAGCCTTACTGTATTCTATAGAATACATTCTGTGTAATAACTTGCCAGCATTTGTCTTTCGTGCGTTTTACAACGTGCGTCTTAAAGGCAAGAGTAAATAGGCTTTTATTGCGATTACTTTGCTGCATCACTGCTACCGCCAGGTGGGATTGTAGCTAGCAAGTAAAAAAATGTAGAATTACCTTCTTAAAAAATCTCCAGAACAGTTGGTTGTATTCAAATTCGTGTACTTCTAGATCGTGATTGAGCTATCCAATCATTTTACCACGTTTTTATTAAGTCTTTTTGTCTGTCTGTCTGTCTGCCGTTCCGTGTGAAATCTTGCAACTCAAAACAATGGTATATTTAATTTAAAAAAATGTGATTTTTCTTATATTGTAATAAATTTATTTAGTACAAATTTAAAAAAAATCACTTGTTTATTCCTTGATTATTACAGGAAAAAGCCCTTGATCTTACCTGCCTATGGATTGGTCTTGAAATTTTTGGAGTTTGAGTTATCGTTTTTTACCAGGTTACGGATTGTTATTTTTGTTTCTAAAGGTGGACCCCTGTTCATTCATTGTTATGAATCAAACCACAATTGATAAAAATAGATTACATTCTTAATACAAAAACTCACAAAGCATTGTCAATGTTTTAAAATCTAGAAGTAAAATGCGTGTGTATGTTAGTATATATATAGTATTATTTTTAATAATGTAAATTCAACTAATTGAAAAGGTTATAGTTATTAAATGTAAAATTACCTAGCCATGCCCCTAGTTAATTTTATACGTATTTTAAGTGATCTCTTTACAAAAATGAAAAACTCACGTATTTATAACACTTATTTACTATACGATAAGCAATAGCTTTAGATAGGAGATAAAGGAACAATGACACTTCACCAAAAAGAGCCAAAACTGTATGTTTAAATGATTTTTTAATAGATTTTAAGTTTTTAGATTTAGTTTTTATTACAATAATAAATATTGTATATGTATATTTTAATGTTATGTAAATAAATCTACATGCTTTATATAAAAAATAATTTAATTAATTGAACAGTATCTATATAAGGGGTTATATTTATATAATAATAATTGCAATACGTTTTATAAAAGCAATCATGTAAGTAAGTACTACCGAACTTAAAGAATGGGATTGAAAATGGCATCGCCTCTATTCACCTCTCGCTCGCAAATTGTTGCTACCTATACTCATATCCGCCGGTAAAAACTGCAAAAAAGCACGTTGTTTATATGTGCCTTTCGTACGTTATATAACTTCAGTCCAACTGGACTAGTGTCATTGGAATCAATGACAACAAAATGCCATAAACTACGAAAACAAATCAGTCCGGTTTCGCTAATTTGTGAGCTACTACTACACATTCTGAGTCTTGTTCATAATTATTGTTGATTTTGTTTGTTAATATTTTTGTATAAAATATTTACATGTCATTGAGACATGCGTAACCATTTTTAAAATTTTCGTCTGTCTCTCCGAGCTAATCTTTGGAATGTCTAAACAGATGGTAATAAAACTTCACGAACCAAATAAAGACTAATAATAACAATAAGACTAGTAGTGATCTAGAACTATTGATAAGATTAAATAAATGGTCTTTAATGATTATCTGAAGCCTAAATAACGCCACATTAATAGATCCCACCCAGGCGAAGGCAGAGCGGGTCGCTAGTTATAAATTATGTTATTTTTAAATTAATGTACCAACTTGCGTCTACAATTATTTTCAAATATATTCTCATTAATAGAAAATTCCCAATTAACCGAATAATATAACGTTATAACGATATACCGTTATTAGCGGGTTTTCGCTATTAGTACTTCGCATGTTGACGGTACGGGCTCGATGAACTGCCATTTCTAATCCCATTCTTTATACGCACGGAATGTAAATAATAATATGCTGTATTTTCTAGTAAGTATTCATGTTAGCAATTTATTTGCTTATGTAATCACTGTGTATAGTTTGCGTAAGTTGTTTCCAGCTATCAAATTCAGATAAATATTTTGTTTAATAAATTATAGTTATAAAATGTGATGTATTTATTTGTATGAATTTTTCTATTGAATGAAAGGATTTCTGGATCAAACCGATTATTTCCTAACCAAACATAACAAACTTAACCAAACAAACTTGTGTAGTCTATAGCTGAACATGGTGTCACGGTATAAAGTAATAACTAATAGCTTATAACTCTTAGGCCCGTATCAATAAACGTTACGAGGTTATGATCTTATTAATAGACACATCAGCCGAGTGCTACATTGATTAAAAAACGAAACTCGGCTTTCCAAGTGTGTGTACTTGAGTGCAAGTCACAGAACAGAATTCCTAAGTACAGCATTTTGTGATACTGTTTTTATGTATTTATTAATTAGCAACGATCTTGAGATGCTGATATCGTAATGAGGGCGTATCAAATGATCACGCACTTGAGTTTGTCGTTGAGTAACGTTTATTAATACGGGCCTTAAACTATTATTTAATTAAGGGATTTTATTATATTACTAGCTTTTTACCCGCGGCTTCGCTCGCGTGGTCTTCAATTTAGAAACATCATTAGATGCTATTCCGCACCAAATTTAGCAAAATTCGATCACTTTTAGTCACTTCGGCGTCTGTGTATCTATGTCAGTTTTTCAAATATTTTTTTCTGAATTCCCAAAGACTATTGCACCTAGATGATCGAGGAACACGTGAATAAATAAGTTTTTCAGAATTGCATTAATATCATATGTCTAGAAACATCTACATTTTTTTATATTGGACGTGTCATACGATGTATCCATAAGAAAGATAAATTGTCTTGGAATCTTTACTATCATTATTTACTCTCTACATTCATTCATAATTAAAGTTAATTTATTTTTAACAAAATAATGATGAATGCATGGTCTTATATGCGATATTTGATTCGTATCATTGTTCCCATTTAATATTGATTCATCATCATCATTACAGCCCTTCACAAGTCCACTGCTGAACATAGGCCTCCCCCAAAGAATGCCACAAAGCACGGTCCCGAGCCACCTGCATCCATCGACTCCCTGCATGTCTTACCAGGTCGTCACTCCATCTCGTGGGGGGACGCCCTACACTTCGCCTACCGGTACGAGGCTGCCACTCGAGAACCTTTCTTCCCCATCGGTTGTCGGTTGTTCGAGCTATATGGCCGGCCCACTGCCACTTGAGCTTACTAATCCGTTGGGCTATGTCGGTTACTCTGGTTCTACTGCGGATATCCTCATTCCTAAGTTTATCACGCAGAGAAACTCCGAGCATAGCCCTCTCCATTAATATTGATTAGCACCATAAAATAGATTTTTTATTTTTATTTTTATTGATAATGATGAATACTAAAGTCCAGTCGCGGAGCACGAAGAATTTCGTACAATGACCTCTTTACCTACTAACAGTGGTCACAAACATTTTTGTATTTAGTACGGTTTACATGAAATATTTGAAGGAGAAAGAAAATTTACCAACTTATGAAATATAGTTATTATTATTATATAAATTATTTATTTAGATTTTATATTACAAGTAATAAAAATCTAGATAAGTATCTACTAATTCGGCAGAAAAAAAAATAAAAAAATCAAAATTCAGAATTCGATTCCTCTGTATTGGAGTAACTGCTTTCCGAAGACGTCTCGCCCTATCACATTTATCACAAAAGAATCAACAGTTTTATCTACATTATCATCTAGTCTAGCTAATTTCGATTCCTCTTTTTTTACGTGACTGATGCAATTTTTCTGCTGAAATATTGCCTAAAGTCTCCTGGAGCAGCTTTTTAACATCTGCCATCTTAAATGTTGTATTTTTTTGGGCCACATACCCCTTGACGTCTGCCCACACTAGTTCGATGGGATTCAATTCGCAATGGTACGGAGGTAATCTCAATACCTCCACACCAACTGCTTTTGCCAGCTCATCGACCACGTACGATTGGTACTGAAACTTGACATCTTTCACCTTTTTCAAAAGCTGGACTTTTGTTTCCTTTGCCTCAAAAGAAATTTGCTTTGATGAAAGCCATTCTTGAATATCTATTTTTTTCCAACTAGTAACTGGGATTTTTTCCAGGCGTCTTGAGTGGTAGCTGGCATTATCCATGACAACCACTGCGTTTGGCTCAAGTCTCGGTAGCATTGCTTGAAACCAATGTTCGAACTTGGCTGTAATCGCCTGTACCTTTGCATTCAAACACCAATTCCGATTCTGGCACGAATCCTTGTTTACCTCCTATATGTAAAATAATTAGCCGGTTGCCTTTAAAAGTAGGATTCTTGGCACCCGTCCATGAACCCTCCAAAAATGCTTGTTTTCGTGACTGCACTGTAGTGTCTTCCCACACCTTGCCAACAGTGTGCCCTGAAAACTAAATGAATAAACTAATCAAAGGTTTAAACTGTTAATAGCCGTTTAGGCGTGTAAAGGTGACAGACAGCGTTACTTTCACATTCATAATTTTAGTATAGATTTAAGTCAGTTAGAAAATAATAAAAATAAGTCTTACATTTTACACAGCGCATTCACCCAAGTTTCATCCAAGTAATATATTGGTCGTTGTTGGTGTCGGTAAGTTTTCATATTTTTCAAATATTTGATACGCCACAATGCTATGTCATCTCTGTCGATTAACCCGTTATTTCTCCTTCGTTTGACATACTTAAACTTCAAATCTTTCAGTAATTTATTCAACGATGTCAAGCCCATGTTTGGTAAAGATTCGTCTATATTTATGATATGTAGCACCTTTTTTGCTGTAGGTAACTCTCCTTTTAAATAAAAGCTGTGCACTATTCGTCTAATGCACGATTTACCGAACCCATCAATCTTTTCAATTAATGAGAGTCGTTTTTTCGGTGAAGCAGCTGGCTTGACGGTATCTGTGTCGGTATATTCTTTTAAAATACGATATATGGCCGATTTCGAAATACCCAAGATGTCGGCTGTTTTGTTCTTCATATCTTTTTTTGAAGGATATTTATCAGCAGGCCAGGATTCTTTAGCGTATTTAAACACGTTAATAATCATTACCTTCTCAGATACACTAAAGTGTGACATTTTTCTTTTCTTCCGCGGAGAAACAAACTCCTTGAATGGACGCGAGGTAGACGGCGCTGGTTCTATTTTAAAAGAGTGAATAAAACTTAACAAATTAACAAAACCACTTAACAATTAAAACAAGATAACAAAAACTAACAAACAACAACAAACTAAGAATAAGTAAATAACTGTGTCCGAAAACTGAGCGATCACTAACGCATCCCAAGATGGAATGTCGTTCGTTATAAGCATTATTAATTACGTCAAGGTCAAGCAAACCAAGGACTTTTTGTCGTGACTCAAGGCTAACCAAAACCACATTATGCAAACAAAAACCAATCTTATAGTCTCCAGTAAAAGGTTTACAATCCCTGAGGACGGCGGCCATTGCATCTGTGCGAGCGATACTCATTGTATTTACGCGGGAGTCACAGAGACAGGTAATGACAGTTCAATGTACGAAATTATTCGTGCTCCGCGATTGGACTTTACAAATGTAATAAAACAAATTTTAATAAATCACGAACTTTTATTTAAGCGGGTTGTACAAAACACATCTTTGGAAGAAAGTTCCATAAGAATTTGCGTAAAAGAACATATTGCTGATGTGATGCACCGACGCTTCCAGAAGTCTGAAATATGTCAACATGTTCAGTATCGTCCCAACCTTTATTCCAGATCTGATAGACAACAAATCCTCGCAATAGAACGCCGATTCCTACCAAGGATGATTCCCGAGGCTATTGAAATTAAAAACATCCTAACTTCAAACCCAAGCATACTACTGCAAGACTTCAAGATACTCTAAGCTCGTCCTGCGTAGATCGGACCAAACATTATTATGTACTTAAAAGTTGATTGTAGTCTTCGTAAATTATTACATCGGCAGTTAAACAACTCAGCACTCCCCCCACCCCCATGGGTTCTTTATAGTGCCCGAAACGTCAGGAATTAAAAAAGTTAAAATTATACATGATAAAACCCTTAAGATTACTTTTATTGTAAATGAAGTTCTATTCGCAGAGAACGTGGGTAGGATTACACTCATGATCAGAAGAAGAAAAATGTTCGTCTTTTTGTGGCGGCGAAAGAGAATCCGGCACCTCATATCGTTCCGTGTGTGTCCTAAGAGGCTACAGGCGAAAACATACAGAAGATGGGCAACATCATCTTCCTGACAACAGTTCAAAATAATAAACGCTGCGGTTGCCAACCCGCCTGTCAAGCATGGCAACTATAGCAAATATGCAGCCTATTTGACAATTTATGGGGGAGGTCTATGTTCAGTTCAGTGCACTTTTGATAGGTTGTAATGATAACGATGATGAGTTCTATTCTTTCGAATCTTAGCTACGGTTAATATTTACGGTAGTGTGAAAACAAAAAAGTAACATCTCTGAAAGTATGAATGAAATCAAAACAGTATAATTGTCCCATTAAAACTAAAAAAAGTAGCAGCCTACATACATGTCACTATTGGGCACAGGCCACAGAGCTTTTGGCGAGAAATGGTGCTAACGCGCAGTCACCTCAACTGGGGAACTTCTCAGATATGCAGGTTTTCTTTCACCGCCGAGAACGTGGTAAATCGACACTTCAAATTGTAATTAACATACCTATATGTAAAAATATATAATAACGCTTATCTACTATGAAATTTACGTTTGGATCTGTTTTATTACCGCATTTGACAAGTAAAATAAAATAAACCTTTGTTTAAGTAAAATCTGCTATCCTTCATATTTAAAGTATTTTTTCGCAACAGCCTGTTCATTTACATATTTCATGTGAGCTATGAAACCAGGACTGTCACAAAAATCTTGATTTGTCTGATAATATAGAAACTCAAAAATACAAAAATCTTAAATGACAAACTGATTTCAAGTTTCGAAGTCATTAAAGTTATAAACTAAAGTTGCAGCTCACAGCTACATACGTCTCACTACTGTACACAGGGTTCCTCATTGCCTATAGTGTTTGTGGACAGAAAAGAGTATGCCGCAATCCTTCAACTACTCAAACATTTAGGTTTGCTCACGAAGTTATTCTTCACCACTTCACTGGATAGGTGTTAAGTCAGCACGTAAAATTTCCCATAACAGATTCATTTGTCCTCAAAGGACTCGTACACGTTTTGCTCTCTTGCCGTGATGAAATTTCACGGCGAGCTACACGGCTCTCGTATATGTTTAAATAAAATTCATAAAAACTGAAACAAAGTTTTTTGTACGATTGTTTACCATATCTACCGAGTAATTAGAAACCCAACGATGCCACGAACTATTCCATCAAATAGAGATAAAATCACACAGTGCACTTAATTTCCAATTATTTACATCAGATTACAGGATACCATATGAAGTTGGTAAAATGAAACTTATACCGACAGACACCCAATATATTCAACTAAAGAGTTTTGTATACACAGTACTGGATACTGTACACACAAAACACAAGTGTTGTGGTAAATCATCCCGATAATGGCTACCGGTCTAGATATTTTTAAGTGTAACAATTTTTGATGCTGCACGAATAAGTATTACACCACATTTAATACACTATACATACGTATTTATTCTTTTATTACCATATATATGTATATTTATCTTAAAACAAAATATGTTTAAAAAAATAAAAGGCAAGGTATGATGCAGGCATTTATTTAAAAAAAAAAGATTATTCGATTTTATCACTTTGGTGAGCGGCACTTAAAACTATTTATTGAAGTTCTATATATTTCTACTTGTATAGCTTAACATTAAAGTTACATTGCAACATATTGTAAATAAGGTATATTTAAATAATGTTCTAAATTGTATCGTTATGGAGATAAAATACCCATTAGCCAACCAATTCCGAGAAAAACGCTTTTAAAGTTTGCCCCCACTATACTATAAAATACTGCCTATATACGTTCTCCTCTCATTCCTCTGTTCCGAAAGTGGTTTAAGCCGAGGTTCATACCTCCTTCTGAGGTTCCCCTGGACCCAGCTAGCGGAAACTCACTCAAATACTAGGGTGCGTCGGGACTATTCGCCGCGACACCGCCGGCAGAATCGGCACACTCAATAGCTCGTACGTCCTCGCTTGCGAGTCTATTCCGGCGGAGTTGTAAAATCGCAGGGCCAACAACATACACTTTCAGAAGAAGAAAACTATCTCATTCCTGATAGCGATATGGAGCAATTAGTTTGCCGTGGTGCTTGTGATATTTTCCTTCACCGTGGAACACGTGGTAAATCAGTATTTAAATTACAATAAACAATTCGATTGGTGCCGGTGGGGATAGAGCCCGTGTTGATCCCGTATCGTAAGAAGATTACAGCGCACACTTAGCCCCTGAGATACATCTCTTACACCTCACTATTCTATACTCTATCTTACCTCACTTTACTATGCTATATTCGATGTAGAGATTTGTAGATCCGGATGGATACGAATCCGCGCAATTCGGATACAGATTCGACAGTACACACCGCTCCGAGCTGCAAACCACAGGTGGGCCGCTGGGACCAGACGCGTTGGACAGGGCGCTGAGCGCGGAACTGAGTTGCATCGCGGACCGGTTGCGGCTTGTCGAAGTGCAACGCACGAACGGAGGAATGAGAGCGTGATTCATATAATTCATTTTACTGGTCGTAATGTAGCTAGTGTCCAAAATGCTCAAAAAATGTATATAGAAATTCAGCAGTTATTTTTTATATAAATAATAAAGTATTACTACATTGAGATGTACAGAACTTATTCATTGTTCTTAAAAGATTTTTTAGTACTCTTTTTTGTGGTAACATTAATAACTGAGTCATGAACTCAAGTCATCGGGAATGTTTTTGAAATTGTTTTTTTTTTTTTACTTTTGATATTGTTTAAGTAGAATGTGCGTATAGGAATGTTGCTTTGCTTAGTGCTTCGTTTTGTTTTAGATTTAACCGGTAACTTCTGTTATACCACCGCTTAAGCCCAGCAAAATGCGAAACAGCGTTACATGGTCCGAAAATAAATTCAAAATGCTGATAACTGATATTCCTCAATTAACATTTCATTTAACTCTCGTAATTGTTCAAGTAATCTGGTGCGGCATATAAAAAAGAAATATGCCAATATTGAACTACATCGCCAAAACCGGGAATTAACAATCTCTCACTTTAGTACACAAATCAGACCCAGGAGAACTAGGAGGTATAATTAACTAATTTAAAGTAAAAAAAAAACATATATCATATTTGGCCTCCCGGTTGAAATTTGGGGAATGTATAGGTGGCAGCGAAGTTGTTAAACAGGCACACGATATAAACAAGTGACAGATTTGTGTACAAATGTGTGACGCTATTCTAAGAAGAATGCACATTAATGCGAATGCGATGTTGAGACACATGAGTTCATAGATGAAGCAACAATAAAGAATCAAAGTATGAAATCGCATGACTTGTCGAGCAGGTATGCAGAAGGAGCAAATAAAAGCTTGCGACACACACGTGCAAGAATAAGATTTAATAACAACGATGAAAACTATAGCCATCTTCATGCTTAGAATCCAGTAGCTACATGACCTGATTCTGAGTTATAATTATGGTTTAATTAGTTTCCCAAGGATATAGGGGAGGAGTTGTACTCCTCCGTAGGGGAGCAAATATAGTTAGTCCTTTTGTATAACTTTCAAGTTGGCTAATGGGGTTTTTTTTTAATTTATAATCATGTCACGTTGTCATTTTAAGCTTACTATTTTATTTCTTTTAAGGAAACTTCGTTAAAATACGTTCACATCATAAAATTAACAACAATAAAAATAATAATTTAAAGATAAAAAAATAAAATAATATCTATGAAATGTATTTTAACTGGATTTTTACGCACTTGAATTAAATGCGAAATGCGAGATGGCAGTTTAAATATGCGCATTCTAGTACCTATTACTTTTCTAATTTGTAGGGTAGAGTTGAAATATTAGTGTCACATATAGGTATGTAAATATTCTATGTATGTCAAATGAATTTAAAAGCACATTATTTTTTTTTTAAATTGAATTAGATTATTTGACAAAAACTTACGGCCACATTAGCAGGTCGAACGATTTACATTTTGAGTCTTAAGATGTTGTGATGTAACCTTACAATTTATTATATAACTTTCCTCCTTATATTAAAGAATAAATAATTTGTTCTTTGGTTTCTTCAGGTCTACTTAAAAGTATTATATTAGGTTTTTTGGAGTTATACTTCTTTTGGGGAGTTTGGGAAAAATTATGAGGGTGAATTTTTTACGATGCGCGCCCACACCGACAGATAAAAACGACACCATTAAGTTGTTACAATGTGCGCGCATACTGACACCTCAAAGCGAAAACTTATTTGGCTAACTGTCTCTTAAGTTTTCGTGGGAACTGATATTTATATTTAAGGTTACGCTAAAGAAGTATAACTTCCTACGTGCGTAAATAAGTACAAACACACGTTTTTATTTTATTTTATTAAATGATTGAAGTTTATTCAATCTTAATAAAATAAAATACTTAAGTGCATAATACTATGTAGGTACCTACTAATAAAATGTGTAAGTATTTATTTGATTAGTGTTTATTCATGTTGTTTTATTCATTAAAACAACAGATGTTAAAACAATCTTAAGATTTAGAACTTCATTACAGGCATTGTCAGTATCACATCATGTAAAATATTTTAGTAACCTTGAGTTATTATAAATAATTTCAAACTAACAATTTGTCCATATGTATTTAGCGCCTTAAGCTTAAGTTTTACATAAATCAACAATAAGATCTCAACATCGCCAGCTTTTTAATATGTTAGGTACACGCTGTATATAAAATGTAAGCGAAATTACCTTTTTTACTATCACGTTATTATGTAAATATTATTTTCACATTTTATTAAGTATTACGTAAAATTTCGCTAAATTGCAATAATATTAAATTCTAACAAAATTAAAACATCATATATCTTGATCACAGTTAATATCAGATCAATTTTGTTGTTCGCTTTGAAAAAGTGGCAGCATTGTTTAAAATGTCAAGAACTCGATCGGTCCCCGGAAATATTTACTTAACCTAACTCGTAATTATTATTTCGTAGCTTAACTACTATTAAGTTAGTAACAGACTGGTCCCATGCACGAAATGAATATAACGCAATGCGTAATGCGTAATTACGTAATGACTATTAACTTAAACTTGAATGTCTCCTTTACCTATTAATGCGTTTTATTCACTGGGTACGTGAGTCTAGTTTGTTTCTAGCCATAAATAGGTTGTTGCAACCATAACTACATTAAGAACCTGTTAAATGGACGTGATGAAAAATATTATTTTCCTACAATAGGCAATAATACATAATCTACCCTAATTTAGGCGTAATAAATGTTATAATGCATAATTTTTCTATACCATTGTCATAGAATAAATAATAGTAGGTACTACGTACCATTGTTCTGTTAGTCGTTTAAATGTTTTGGCTTCGTGTCATGCAAGTGGTCTCGCAATTGGGGCTTTACTTTTGTAGGTGGAAATTTCGTCAGAAAAAAGTCAGCAATAAGGCAAAATAGCTTACACAGTAAGGGGCAAAGTATAGCTTGATGTAATACTGCCGCTATGCGATACCATGGGCCGTCGAATGGATCCAAAATGGCAGGGCATAGCATATGATTCAAGTTAACTTGTGCGGGCTGTAAAAAAATATGTACAAATAAATAGACGTGAAGTATTTTATAATTACGTATGAGTGACGTTACGAGAATACCTACAATGGCAATAATTTGCAACACAATAAAGTGATATAGTAGATTCAGACTGTAACTGAAGATAGCCCAATTGAAGTCCCAAAACGGTTCTACGTTATAAACACCTAGAACAGATTTAGTGTATGAGTTACACGCGATACAATTATAAATTAATTGCTTTACATCCGTGCCGCTTGTAACTTTAGTGGGGTTTACAATAAAATGTGATTCTAATTTAATTTTAAACATATTTTAGAACTCAAATGAGAATGCTCTACTTAAATTCTAAGCAGAGCACTATCGATCGACCCATTTATGTACAACTGCCAACACCAAATGATTAGTCACGTCACAATCGGCACGTATGCAAGCTTGACAATTAAATATAGTGTACCTCCAATTCTCAATAAATAATATGGTATCACAAACATCATTCCGTGTTGTATCCAGTACAATGCAGCTTCTGCAAAAATCTAAAACGGTACTTAGTAATAACGAATGTTAATAATTGCGTATATTAAATTTAAATTAATACATACCGTTCTTGAAGCTGTTTCTGGAAAAAGGAATGCTAAAAGTGGTCCATTTAATAAATTCAAATGTATACGAAATAAAGTAGTTACTGTCTTACTGGGCGGAGCAGCAAGTAAATAAATCTGGAACAAAAATCGGTTGTTGGTGACATTACTATTTACTATATATACTTTTTCACTTATAACTATAATCATTACCTAAACTCATTATACCTAAATAATAAAGATTGGAACAACAAGGTGGTGTGGTTTAATTTCAATCCTACGTAAAATTGTTTTCTTTTGAGGTTATGAACATTTTTATAAAATACTAGCGATCCGCCTCGGCTTCGCATGGGTGATTCCTGAATCTCGACAAAATATCCATCTACGATTATGAAACTAAACCATCTAGAGACCCACACAAATACACACATGTAATTTCATCAAAATCGGTCGAACCAGTTTCGAGTTTTAACGAGATTAAAGGACAGCAATTGATTTTTTTATATAAAGATGTGTCCATGTAAAACAATCTATTAACTACCCCATTTCATTCTGTCGGTGTCGTAAAAAGCGACTATGGGAAATGGGAAATACTAAAAAGGCCATATGGCTTCCGATAGATGGCGATAAAACCATGTAGCCTTAAACTATACAGACCGGTGACGGGGGACAACGTTGAAAGTGCGAGAAGTCTGATACTGCGATCGTTTGCGTGTCGTCTGCGATCGCCTGCCAAGCTTGACGATTAAAGCAAGTTCAATGAGATATGCCCATGTCCAGCAGTGAATTTTTACGAGCTGATGAAGATAAAAAAAAAAACAAAATGTGTGCAAATCACACACGGTAGAAGTGAAACCCTCAAATGAAATTAATGATAAAATAACTAGGCATCAATCGCGCGCCAAGACGAGTGTTGAATTATTGTAATTTTCCACTGTCTCTTAAACTGTGCGTCTAAATAACGTGCTATGAAGAGCAAAGTTTATCTTCATAAAATTGTGTTGATGATGAAGTAACTTTCGTTCGTAAGGATTAATATGCTATATTTAATAATAACATGTATATAATATTACGTTAATTATATATAATGTTCTCCACCTAAATTAACATTTCATTAGCATTTTTTAATTGTTCACACTCGCCACTCTAGGCAGGGGCCGTGAGCACTGAGCCAACACCCTCATGATGTTAACGTTGATTTCTAACATTAGTCTGTGAGATTAATGCGACATTTTTTGCTTGTTTTCCGATATCATTTGTTCATTAAGACCCACATACACAACGCTCAACAGGATGCATTACTGCTGCCTGACAGCTTTTGCTGGCCGCTAGTGCGGTGCGCTCGCCACACTTGCGCTCAAGTTTCAAAGAAAACTTAAAGCTCCTCCTGAACTTGCTTGTTCTTGCAACCTAAATTTTCAAGGCCTATTGTGATTTTGTACATGTGTATAATGTAACAATAATTAACAATTGCCTTTTTCTACTGAATCTACAATTTTGGCAAAAAAATTTGAAAAACAATTTGGCAAAACAACTTCAAGACTTGGGATCTTGACTGTTCCATGTCTGTATATACTGGTCTTACTCACGAAATTTGCAAAAGTTATTGGCCAATATGAGACGATAGATCAAAAAACCATAAGATAAAACAGTAGAAAAAAAGACTTTCATAATAAAATCGTCCCTCGTATGGTAATGACTAGACACTGTTCTCAATATCGATCAGTACTTCTATTTAATATATTACCTACTGACTTAAAAAATACGTTATACCTACAAGAATAGTTTCATAAATACCTTAAAAAAGTTCCTACTGGAAAAATGTTATTATAGTGTTGACGAATTTCTACATGCTGATGCTATAATATAACCTTCAATGTTATAAAATTTTTGATGACATTTTAAAAATAATCGTAATTTTTTTTGTGACAAATATTGTTATTATTATTTTGTGATATTTTATACTTTATCTTATTTATACTGATGAGATTTGACTTCTAATTTTTATACTTATTAATTGTTATAATAATTTTAATTTAATATTGATTGTAAATTATATTTTTATTGTAATTTTGTATAATTGTAAATTTGGTTGTTAAACATTTTAATTGTATTTTTGTATAAATGATTCAACACAATTTGTATTGTTCAGAATTAAATAAATTAAAAAAAAATATTTTTGCGTATATTTAATGTGTACGTATGTTATTGAGTGGCAGCCTCGTATCGGTAGGCGAAGTGTAAGGCGACCCCCCATTGATGGAATGACGACCTGGTAAAACATGCAGGAAGTCGATGGATGCAGGTGGACCAGGACCGTGCTTTGTGGCTTCCTTGGGGGAAGCCTATGTTCAGCAGTGGACTTGTGAAGGGCTCTATGATGATGATGATGACGATATTTAAAGTTTGAAGGATTTTTTGATATTATACTTCTTTTGGGGTGTTTGGAAAAATTATGACAGTGAATTTTTTACAATGCGCGAGCACACCCACAGCTAAAAACGACACCATGAAGTTGTTACGATGCGCGCGAACACCGACAGCTAAAAACGACACCATGAAGTTGTTACGATGCGCGCGCACACTGACACCTCAAAGTTCACCTCAAGTTTTCGTGGGAACTGATAACTATATTTAAGGTAATTATTTTTAATTATTTTTGTTATGTTACGCTAAAGAAATATAACTTCTTACGTGCGTACATAAGTACACACACACACACACACATTTTTTTAAAGGCAAGCAAACTAAAAAAAAAATAATGATAAAACTGAAAATTGTATAATTCCAAGTATGTTGAAAGATCACAAAATCTTGTAAATATGGTAGGTATAAGTTATCTTCAGAATATTACAGTGTGTTATATTTTTTGAAGCATGGTAAATCTCGAAATGGGAATTAATAATTGCGGCAGTAGTATAAAGTTTCAGCATTCAGCATCAGCAGACACACTATCTTCTACAGACAATACATTACAGAAGAATTTCCCATTGTTCCGGTCATTTAAAAAACAGTTCCACTACTGGCGCTAGTCTCGAACCTATTTGCCTAGTGGGGACATTACATAGCATTATCTACCAACTTCAAAGAGTACTCAATTCAACTGCATGTTTTCTTTTTTTATGTGTGTTACCTCATAACTTTTTACTGTGTGAACCGATTTCGATGATTCTTTTTTATTTGAAAGCTAGTGCTTCACATGTGGTCCCATATAAATTTGATCAAGGTCTGACCAATAGTTTTTGAGTTATTCTCAATAATTCATATTGGAGTTGGTTGTACAAAATTTTAAATTTTAAATTATTATAGCATATTTTCATTCCCTATTTATGAAATGCCACAGTAGCCCTTGTCATTGGTTAAAGGCTTCATTAGGTATAAAACTTGGCTTACATAATAGATTGAATAAGTATAAACATTTGATAAATGCACCATAGTTGTCTTGGCTCTGAGGTACATAATTGGAACAATCAATTAAAAGGAGTTAACTGTAAATATTTCAATGGTGGGTTTATGTGATGTGGTCAGTCAGGAACAACATGATGTAACTGAATGTAATGTCACTATAAACAAAATCATATAATATATTAATATCAGCATCAATTTGTAAACATATTACTTTTAATTATTGCACTAGTAATTAATTAACAAAGCTATTATGAACTGAATAATAAGAAATTTTACAGGAACAATTTACATTTCAGGTAATCTTTTCCCTCTTATAAATTTTATCATTTTTAGGCAAACTTTCAGTGTACTTATCCCCTGACGGAGAGACCATTCACTTAAAAAATTCTCCAGACTTTAGAACAGAACTAAGTGAACGGTCTCACCGGTTCATTGACGTTCCCCAGGGGTAGTTTTCCCAGCAACTTTATTCATACTGCATATTAATGATATGCTTATGCCCAGCATCCATTACTATGCAGAGGACAACACATTTATGGAAAGATAACGGTCAAATTCTCAGCCCAGTTGGAATAAAATCCAGTCCAAAATAGAAGCAATGGTTGAGTGTGTGAATCTCTTAATGCAGGCAGTATCTGAATGGAGTGATGCCAATATTATGAGATTCAATGCCTCCAAAACTCCAAAATATGCATCTTCAAAGTAAAACTTAAAAGACTTTTGCTATGCTAAGATAGTGTGATTCACCATCTACGGCTTCATCAACACTAGATGGGAAAAATATCTCTTTATTTCACTGACCCCAGCATCTTCCAGGTTTAACTACATTTTATACAGTCTGTTAGATTTTGTAAAATAAAAATAAATAAAATAATTTATTCTTCTTCACAAAACTTAAATTAATTAGATAGTTGATTGGAGTCTATTTAAGCAAGTAATGTTTAAGAAAATAATAAAAACCAAAAATGACAAACCAATTACTCTATTTTAACAAACCAAAAATAACGAAAACTAATTAATTCTATTTTTATAACCAAAAATTAAAAAAGTACAAAAGTATATGTGTGCATGTATGCAAGAGTGTGTGTGTGTGTGTGTGTGTGTGTATGTATGTGTGTGCACGTGCGTGTGAATGTGTGTGTGTGTGTAGAGAAAGTATTATTATGTTATATATCGTAAAGAACAGTGAATTACGAAATGCGTTCCATTAGAAATTCAGTTTCGTCATATGTTTTCGACTGCACCCATTTTAGTGTAAGGTTTTTACGCTCCTTGTACGTTTTGTCGTATATGTTTAATTCTCAATTTATTAAATTATATAGGAATGTAGAACGGGAGCTAAATTGCCTACTAGCAAACACTGTTTTGGAACCAGAAGACACAGCCACAACATCTTTTCGCCGCTTTTCCAAGATGCATGGATCAAAGGGCACGGATTTGTGTGCTTTGAGCATTTGAGCATTTGAGTGTTGTCATAGTAACGTATAATTGTCTAACTGAGAGTAGACCACTTATTTAATACAGTTTTTCAGTGGAAAAACGTCTTTTTTTAAAATACATGACCTTAAGAAGGATTCGCTGAGCTCTTTCCAAGTTAAGAAATTGGGTCTTTGTAGCTCCACCCCACACCGGAATGCAATAAGTTATGATAGATTGTGCAAGGGATATGTATATTTGGTTTAGAAGATATCTGGGAGAGTCCGACTGTTTAGTATTATCTGGTATTACTTGTCTTAGGGTTTTGAATATCCAAATCAATTTTTGAGTCCTACTGATGACATGCTCCAGGTGTGGGTACCACGATAGCCTCTGATCTACAATGACGCCGAGATATTTAGTGTGAGAGACTTTTTCAATTGATGGGCAGTCACAAGCTTTGCTTTTAGCATCCTCATTACATGCATGAATTTTAAGGCAAAAGTCAGTCTGTGGTTGCGAGTTGTTAGTAATACTAAAGCAAATAAATTTTGTCTTAGCTGTATTTAGAGTGAGAAGATTTTGTTGCAACCACAGAGCGACTCTAGCTAGACCACTTTCAGCACTAGTCTTGACAACCTCCTAAGATTCACCAGCAAAAACCACAGCCGTGTCATGCGTACGACAGGATTTTAGCATTTGGTATGGTCATACTGCATAGGTCATTGATATCAATTAAAAATAAGGTTGGCCCCAGAACGCTACCCTGTGGTACACCATATGATGATACTCCCGCATCCCCACTAGTAAAGAGAAGCATATTCATCTAAAAATACAATAAACTTAAAAAAAAACAAGGAGGTATCCAAATGTTGTATTGGAGAGCTTCCCAAATTGTATTGAGCTTATCTCAACTTGTAGCTGCTATTTGAGCATATGTAAAAAAATAATTAAATTAAAATCTTAATGACAAGTACAATTATTGACAATGATGATATTACTGGCACAATAACACATTTTCACTACATTGATTTAGAATAAGATATTTTTATAAATATTTGTATGGCACTCCTATATATGTTTTGGGTTTACTTTTAATATGTTTTGAAGTATTTTATTATTATGGAATTAGTGAATTATTATGCAATAATGTTGTGGCACGTCAGACCACATTGAGAATACTATTATTGAAACAAAAAAACCAGTTTTGAATTTTTGGTAGATAAGTTCATCTGGTTTTTTATACTTATAGGCTAATATTTTAACAATAAAATACAGTAAGAAACAACAGTTTAAAGTTTTAAAAAATCTTACCTGTATTAATGTAGTAACATGGCAAGGATTCAATAAATAAATAACAGTCCGTGATGCAAATTTGAAACCAATTTCCATTCCCCATAATAATGCTAAAAGAATAACTAATAACCTTTTACCTCCTCTATCACTTCTAAAATAATTTTTTTCCTCAGTTATTTCCAACTTAGGGTAGATCTTGACCTACAAAAATATTTTATTTGATTAAACTTTTTACTTTATAGTAAAAACTAGACTAACTTAATTCTTTAATTTAATTATAAACAACTATTGATTTAATTATTTAAATATGTATGTGCTTAATTGAATGTATTACTTGTATTTAAGTACTTACTAATATATACACACAAATCGTTGTTACTATAATAGTTTCAATTATTTGTCTTTGCAGAGATAAAAAATATGCACATTCGGGGCCCACATTTCTCGGCACTGCTTTATTTGCACCACTATAAGCCCATTCAAACATATTGATTGTTTTATGTCTATATAAAATTTAATATCATAAAAACAGCATTTGTAACCATTAGTTTTCCCCTTTTTTATATATAATTATGTTCCTTTGGGTGTTCATTTTCTTTTTTCCTAGCTTGCTACATATATATTTATCTATGTTTTTTCCTTCGCCTTTGCTCAACTTGATTTGACAATGTCAAATTGACATTAACATTGACAGCACCTTCTTCTCCTTCTTAATAACTGGCTTTACGGCTCTGGGATCTAGCCCTTCTGAGCCTGAAGTTACAATATTATATTATAATAATTATTCTTCATAGTATACTGCTTCACAATATGTTGATGCATCACATTGTGCAGCCCTCGGAAGATTTTGTACGGTAACTTAAGCTAGCAGACAGCTGACGGTTGGCGATGGTATCTCAAGGCGCCTAAGTAGACAGGCACCTTATTTTGAGAATGACATCACTATCAGAGCACTTGTTTCACAGTTTCCACTAATAGTTCACATGCGCAGACACTTAATACACAAAATCGCACCACTTTTACATATCAAAGTCCACTTCAAACCATTATTTTGACAATAAAACAGGAGCAGCAAACCGACGCCGGTCAAGTTCCCGCCAAAACTCCATTTACAGCACCACTTGCTTCGAGCCTTCGAGCATAGAAAACACTTGTGACAATGACAGCTATCCTGATCCATAGATTAATAGATATGTAATAGTTTATTCTCACTCTACGATATGTAACAAGCTATCCTGAATTCCTAATCCTATGCTGAGCTTTACAAAACTTACCCACTCTTAAAACTGAAATCTGTAGACTGTACCTATATACTTAGCATAATTAATCTGTAATTCTGAATGTATAGTTGTATTGGGCTAAGATTAAGCTTAGCTTATCTTAAGGCTCATACCAAAGAGAATATAATCACTAATCAGACAATCAAAAAATTAATGGATGTTTCGTTTCACGCATTATGTTCTTGATATTACTGTATAAAAAAAGTTGTATTTAAAAATCGAAAACAGTCCAAATTATATTTCATAAAAATAAGAATTAAATAATTATTACATGAACTAGAAAACGATCGCTAAACTAAGAGAGATAAATGTATATTTAACCAATTTTAATTTAAAATATGAGAAAGAAACGGAACGTTTGGTTAGCTGGTCGCGCGCCGTCAAATCACTGTTTCTAACGTGATTTTTGGTTTATTGACATTGTGTCCATTTTAAATGTGCGGCGTTACCATGGCCGACCGAAAGCGAAACGAAGAGATTCGCAATATGGCAGGTTTGAAAGATGACCTTATCACAAAAATTGATAAGGGCGTGCTTCGGTGGTTTGGGCACGTTGAGCGAATGAGTGAAGACCGAATGGTGAAGAAAATATATAGCGCGAAAGTTAATATTAAAAGGTGTCGAGGTAGACCGAGACTAACTTTCGAAGACCATGTGAGCAACTTGCTCGAAGAGGGTAGGGTCAAGAGTACTCGGATACCTAGACGTGCATGCATGAAGAAGATAATGAATCTGAAAGAAGCGAAAGAGGTATGTAAGGATCGTGACACTTGGCGATCTGTTCTCTCTGGCTACCCCGTCAGGGATTGTGCGTGAAGATATTGTGTCCATTTTAAGTTATTATTTATATTTTAAATGCCTGATCTTTTTATTATGTCTGGTTTTAGAACTTGGACTCCCGATCTTAATACCCGTGCGGTTAAAGAATGGGATTGAAAATGGCGTCGTCTCTATTCACCTTCGCTTGCACATCTATCGCTATCTATACTCACACCTACTGGTAAAGACTGCAAAAAAATATGTTGCGACATGGGTTTTTCGTATGTTCTATAACTTCAGTCCAACTTATCATTAGAATCAATGAAAACAAAATGTCATAAACTAAAATTCAGTCCGGTTTTGCACGCACACACGCACGCTTGCATGCCCGCACGCACGCACGTTTGCACGTATGGACACACGCACGCACGCACGCATACCGCTCGCACACAACGCACGCACGCACGCACGTATGCACGCACGCACGCACGCACGCACGCACTTACGCACGCACACACGCTCGCACGCACGGATGCGCGTACGCTCGCTCGCACGCACGCACGCACGCATGCCTCTCGCACGCAACGCGGGCACGGAAGCACGCACGCACGCACGTATGCACGCACGCACGCGCATATGCACGCACGCACTCACGCACTTACTCACGCACGCACACTCACACGCACGCACGCACACTCGCAAGCACGCACGCACAAACGCACGCACGCACGCACGCACGCACACACTCACGCACGCACGCACGCACGCATACACGCACACACACAAATATGTCGCAAATAACACTTACCTACTACTATTAGGCAAGAGTGAATAGGTTTTTTTCGTTTTTGTTCACTATCTTAGGCTACAAAACCACTTACTATCAGGTGGGATTGTAGTTGATTTACTACTTGCCTAGTGAGAATAGTTTTTTTTTTATAGGATAAGGGTGACAAACGAGCACACAGTCCACCTGATGGTAAGTGGTTGCCGCGGCCCATAGACATCTACATCTATCCTCTATTACAAATCAAAATGTAGATGCGTTGTCACCCATGAGGACTAAGATGGAATGCCTCATTTCCAGTAAAAAGGGCCTCCGGCCACCTGCACTCACCAAGCGAAACGCAGAGGTAAACCTCTACTTCACGCTGGTTTTTTGTGAGGTCGTGGTACCATCCCGGTTCGAGCCGGCCCATCCGTGCGACAGCAAAAGCTGCCGCGTGGCTCTACCACTGTAATAGTAAAAAACAAAAGAAATTTACCCTGTGAACGTTTGCATATAACCAACAATAAAAATGTATTACGTATGATGAGAATATAATAAGGACTTGGCTTATTATTTATTATTTCTAAAGATATTGTATTTTCTTTTCGTTGTAAGTTGTTATGTAAAACTTGTAACACTTTTTGTGATACAAATGGAGTATCTGATTGGCAATACTTGTCTTTGCTAATAAAGAGACACGAAACGTCAATTTTACACAATAGTTATATTAACACTTGGGTAAATTTAAAAAAAAATGTTGGGGAGATCTACGACTGTTAATGCTCATCACCTGCGGATTTTAGAAACGGAAAGAAAATATTGGCGTGACGTGTTGGAAAAAATTATTGCGATTGTTAAGTATTTATCTACACAATGCTTGGCATGTCAACGTTCTTCGAAATTACTTTTCGAACATGATAATGGAAATTTTTTAAAAGCTGTTGAGATGATTGCCTCTTTTGATTCAGTGATGAGACAGCACGTTAGCCGAGTGTGTAACTCCCAAACAAAATGTGTTAAAATGACTCATTATTTAGGCATATAAATAATTGAATTATTGTCGTCTAAAGTAAGAAATAATATTTTAGAAATGGTTCGCAGTTCAAGATATTTTTCAATAATATTAGATTGTACACCAGACACTAGTCATACTGAGCAAATTAGTCTTGTTCTAAGGTATGCTGTCCTTAACACAACTTCAAAAGAGGTTGAAGTTAAGGAAAGTTTTATTGCGTTTAATCCAATATTAGACTCTACTGGGAAACTATATACATTTGTAACAGAAATTTTGAAAAAATTAAATTTAGATGTCTTCTACAAGTAGCTGAAGATTGATGCAAAACATAAAGCGAATTCCCTCTTAACATCTGTACAAAAATTTCAATTTATTTGCGGAATTATTATTTGGCATGTCGTTTTATTTCACATAAATATTGTCAGCAAACAAATGCAAAGTGCTACAATTAATATTAAAGTATGCCAAACCTACCTAAAAAATTTAGTTGATCACTTCCAGCAATATAGATCTGACCAAATCGTTTGAAGAAATTCTTGTACAAGCGAAAGAAGTAGCACTCGCTCTCGAAATTGAAGAAGACTTTCCACCGTTATCAACGGTCAGGAGGAAATTTAAACCAAAAATGTTTGATTATGAACATCGAGATAAGACCCCTCATGATTCAAAAACTGCTTTTAAAATTAGTTTTTTCTTAAAAATTATAGACAAAACATTAAGCTCTCTAAAAACCGATTTCACTTATTAAATGAGTATGATAATATATTCGGATTTTAGCGGCATATTCAAATTAAGTGATAGCGATATTTTAAAATATTGTTGTTCTTGAAGAACGACTGACAGATCAGGATAATAAGGATATATACTCCAATGATTTGTTTAATGAAATTAAAGCGTTAAAGTTGTTTTCATTACCTGATGATACTGACCCCTTAAGTATTTTACAATATATAATATTTGAAAACAATTTTTATTCTCCACCTTTGCAAAACGTAAGCATTTCACTAAGAATTCTTCTGACATTACCTGTATCTGTAGCTTCTGGCGAGCGATCTTTTTCAAAGTTAAAAATCATTAAAAATTATTTAAGATCGTCAATGCTTCAAGAAAGATTGTCTGGGCTAGCGATATTAGCAACTGAACAAGAAATTTTTGATGGTATAAATTTTAGCGATGTAATTAATGAATCTGCAGTAGCACAGCATACCAGCACTCACAGAATACCAGTGTAAAATAGCAGCTTAATGCTGCTGTGTTTCGTATGGTGGGTGTAGAGAAACGGAGACCCTTTTTACTGGAAACGAGGCATTCCATCTTAGTCCTCACGGGTGATAACGCATCTGCATTTTGATTCGTATTCGAGGATAAATGTAGATGTCTATGGGCCACAGCAACCACTTACCATCAGGTGGACTGTGTGCTCGTTTGTCACCCTTATCCTATTAAAACAAGCAAAGTCTCGGTAAATATCGCTGCTACAATAGCTATTTTGTATTTTTCTATTGTACGTGGTATAGTACTCTACGTGGTAGAGCCATGCTGCAGCTATATTATGGTTGTAGCACGAATGGGTCGGCTCGAACGGGGAAGGAACACGCTCTCACAGAAAACCAGCGTAAAATAGTAGCTTAACGCTGCCGTGTTTCGTATGGTGAGTGTAGAGA